CAAATCATAAATGACATGTGGCTCCTATCAAGAGTAGATATTTTGAATAACAACATACTTAGATTTGAGTCTAAATGGCTACCTTCGAAGGCAGGATGGGTTAGACTTGATGTAGATGGCTCAGTTAACTCTCTTGGTGCTGCAACTTGTGGTGGAGTCATCTGCAATAAAAAAGGAAATTGGATTATTGGTTTCTCAAAATTTTTTGGCTATCAACCCTGTACTGCAGCTGAATTATCAAGCATTTTCAAAGCTCTTCAGATTGGTTGGAATGCTAATCTTACCAAAATTAATTTATACACTAACTCTATGGAAGCCCTCTCTCTTATTCAACATAATTTCTCCAAAAGCCATCCTCTAGCGGCTACCATTAAGAAAATAAGAGAACTTATTATGAGAAATTGGATGGTTACTTTTGACCACATTTTTAGAGAGGCAAACAAATGTGCTGATTTGCTCGCATGGAAAACTTTGCATGACCACCATGACCTCTCTATCTATAATGTTCCGCCTATAGGATCTAGGAACATCTTGGATTCTAATATGTCCTGACTTTTGTAATCGTTGCACGGTTATGTCTGTGTCTTTTCATTCAAAAAAAATCAAAACAGCAAAATCAAAGATTTTTCGGATAAGCTAAAAATAATTATTTTTGCAAGAATAATCTGGTAGAAGGAACCCAATGTCTCTTGAACTCGCGAGCAGGGAGGCAAATCGGCTAATTTCAACTGCAATTGCCCTATGTTAGCCTGTCTCATGTGCACGAGCTCACTTTTCTTCCAAGCTCATTTTACTAACTCACTTTATTCCTTAGTATATATACACTAAGAGAGTTCTTCATTTAATCAATATAGGACTTTTGACACACACACACTTTTGACACACACACAACAAAAATATGTTACATCTGTAGCCCTTAGATAAAATTCTTCTTAAAAATATTTTTCTATGTGTTTGAAAAATTAACTTAACTAAGAAATCATTGTTGCTGTTGAGAATTTGGCACAAACATAATTACCAATTTTAAAAATAAAATCTGTCACTTAGTTTTGTCATAGCCTTACGTGGATAATAAAATGTTATTTTTGGACACTTTCCCCGGCTGCTGTTAGGTGTAAGAATCTTCTAGATTCTAACAGATGTCAACGCATGATGTGCTCTTCTATATATGTTTGCTTGTTCCTTATCTTGGCAGAGAAAATATAAGGTGGGGCCTTGAGTCACCCTGTTTCCATTCAATGAATCATGTTTGCTATCGTCCTGAAGTAGTATTTTTTTTAGTGAGATTTTGATCCAAAATTTATTGCAGAGTTTTTTTTTTGGGAAAAAATTGCAGAGTTTATATATGTTGTGTTGATATAAGGTTAAAATAAACGTGAATGGTTTATATATATATATATATATATATATTCTTTGTTTGTTTGGTTAATATCGCAAGAACAGAAGGGTACACCCATACGCTACTGCTAGTATATCCTGCAAAAATCCCTTGATATATAATTTTGTTTCTTATCCATTGGCGTTGGAATCTCAACTGATGGGCAACGAAGATAAATCTAAACCACGACCTTTTCTTTAATTTGTGGGTTTTGAGAAGTACTGAGAAAATAAAATTATGGAAAACTCATTAAAAACGTCGTTGATTTTCTTAACTATAATATATATTACAATATTTTTTTATGAATATAAATTGAATTAAATGGCCATTTGAATCATAAAATATAAGTCTAGGACAACGTGAATCTTGAATTCGCATTTAATATATTTTAAATTTTGAATAATTAAATTTGAAGAAAGCTAACTGTATTGTTAATTTAGAATAAATACAGTTACTTTGAGCAGTGGTAGGAAGAAACAAGCCATTAATGTCGATAGAGCTTCCAAGCAAGTTCCTAGATAACTCATCTTATGACTTCAATTAGTCTCAGAGCTCAATCTAGACTCCTATGATCTCTTGACCTGTCACTCACAATGACCTAGACTTCGTCACTACCTCAGATCAGATGTGCAAGTTCCGTCACTCTCGTCAAGGCGAAGACCATTTCAAGTGGTTTGATGTGATGAGTAGGGCTATGAGTATGGGTGAGCTTCGCTCTTGGTTCAATTTGTAGCCTCAAATATCACGGTGGTCCGACAGCGAGAGTAAGGGCAGTGCCGTCGATGAGGACAGCGAGAGTATGGGCTGCGAGAATGGGTAGTGCTACTGATGAGGATGTCGAAGGTGGCATAGTCTAAGTGGTCATCTTCTTACTACCACTACCCCACTTCTTCCTCGTGTCTTTCTCGGAATCATCGAGACCTTGAATCGAGAAGCCATCTCCCATAAGGAATGGTGTTGGCGATGGCTATGCATACAAAATTGGAGGGGATTGAATCATAGAGAAAGAGAGAAGGCAGAGAGGGGAGCGTTCTCTCTCTCATAAATAAAGTAACAGACATTTCTTTTAAATTAACCGCAGGGGTGGCTAACTCCAAATTAATTCTCCAAGATTTAATGCATAAATATGAATTTAGAGTTAAAATTATTTTTAAGCTTATAATTTATGGTCTAAATGTCATTTAACCTATAAAAGGTTGACAACAAAATATCACTTACAATAAATGATACTTAAAATTTTAAAAATTCCAAGTTTATAGAATTAATATTTGATAATCTTAAAAATTCAAGTCTCACTTAAAAAAATTGATTTTTTTTAAATTTTTGAATTTTTCTGGTCTTTTTTAAAAAATTAGCCCCTTTTATATTATATTTAGACTTGTTCAATTTTTTGAAAATCATTTCAAAGTTTTTAGTTCAACCATGTTTCTAAATTTAACGGTCACTCAACTCTAGTTCAATCATAAAAATAATTTTTTATTTTAAATTGAGCTGTTAATGATTCTAATTAACTTTCTAACGATTTTGTTTGTCTAGTTTTTAAAACATTGTTTTCACTAAAAAAAAGGTTACAATATTTAATTTTGTTGAAAATATAAATAATAATTTACTTTTTAAATTTTAAAGATTTAATTTAATTTTATAAGTTTTATACACAGAAAAGTTGGTAAAAAATGTAAATACACAAAATAGCATTAACTCTTTAGTTGGAGGAGAATTGAGAAGATGAGAGATTTTAATGAGTTCAAAATAGAGTCAGGGTCTGTTTGAATTTTAATTGAATTATAAAAAAATTAATTAATATAATTAATTTTAAATATAATTGATAATGTTATATAATATATCATTGCTTAATAAGATTGATTTCAATCAAAATTAAAAAGTAAAATTGAAAATAAAAATTAAAAAGTAGGTAAGATCATGGTTTTGTCAAAAAATATCTAAACACTTCTATTACATGTTAAAATTAATTATGAATTCAAAACTATATTTTTTTTAAAAATATCTAAACACCAACTATATATGCCAAAATCAATTATAAACACAAAATCATGATTTTTTTAAAAATATCCAAATAGCTTTATACATGCCAAAATCAATTATAAATCTATATGATTATCTTATAAACTATTATTAGCTACTTTTCAATTATACTTTTCTAAAAATTTATTCAAAAATATTATAAACTATTTTTAAAATCATGCTTTTTGGTTCACAATTAATTTTGGCATGTCAAAAAGTGTTTGGATATTTTTTTAAAAAAAACTATGGTTTCTTGTTTATAATTGATTTTGGCATGTATAATAGGTGTTTAGATATTTTTTGAAAAACATGATTTTAAATTTATAATTAATTTTAATATATAATAGAGGTGTTTGGATATATTCTCATAAAATCATGGTTTTAGCCTTTGGAATTGATTTTATTTATGAAATTCAAGTTGGCACTTGAAAGATTTTAATTATTTTTTCTTACTCTTTTAATTTATATATTCTGTTTATTAAACTTTATAACTACGCTAATCTACTTTTTTTTTTTTTAAAAAAAAATCAAAGTCATTCGAAACTCCTTATCCCTCCTCTATATTTAGCCTAAGGCGAAGGAGTTGCATATGAAATATGGGAAGTTAGAAACAAGGTGAAATTTGGATTCAATGAATGGCATGAGTCTATTGATTTAATGAGTGTCTCAACTCTGAATTATAATAACTGAATTTTATCAATAATTGAAAATTATTAGGATAACATTTGTTTCTTGAAAATTTAAAACAATTTTGTTCTCGCATATGCTGTCTCCTTTGATTGAAATTTGATACTTTTGAAATACTATAAAAATATCAATAACATAATATTAGTAACTAAGCATTCCACAACATAAGTATGTAATAAAAGTCTGAAGTAAAAGGAGGAAGAAAAAGGCTATGTAGTCTTGCGAAACATTGGCAGTGACATACATACCCAGAGAACAGAGCTAGCAAATGGATATCCTTCACCAAAGGTTATAGCAGATGATGACTCCTTAATCCTTTCAATTTGGTTCTATAGAGTAATATAGAGGCAGATTTTCATTTCAATACATAAACTGTTAATAATTTTATGATAAACCAGAAAAATTTACCGCCAAGATCAAATTAAAACTAATTACCATTGGCACGTGGGAACTAGGAAGTGCTTCAAAGCTGAGGACCAAAATGCTCGTTAATTTCAGAATCACGTGAGCCTCACGATTTTCACGAAACGCAACCTCACGGGACACGTGAATATAATGCTATAATATAGACATGCTCATCAGCATCACGCCACCACCACTACCACCAGCCGGGGTCCACCTCTGCGTTGATTTCTTTCCACGCTCTCCGTCTTCACCGTCCAAATTCTTAAACCTCACCGAAAAAAAAAAGAAGAACAAATCATAGCTAATCATGTAATTATCCGCGCTCGTTTTGAAAGCCAAAGCCACCAATCCCATTTTAATTCCAAAACAATATTATTAAATTACGCATTACTACATGATAATCGCTTCGCTGTTCGCACTTGGTGCTTTGGGCTGAAAATTTATCACGTGCCGAGCACTAACAAACTTCTTCCTGCGTCCGCGGGTACGCGTCATATACATGTCAAAAGTAGGTCCCTTGCAGGAGTTATATCTGAGAATTGAGATCACTCAAGCGAGAAGTGTTCTACATCTCTGGTGGCTGAATTAGAGAAGCGAATAAGGGATCATTGACTAGCCACTGTAAACAGCAGCGGAGGATCAGAGCTCCGACACACTGAACAATGGCGGAGACTACGACGCAAGGAAGAGCCGCCCTCTTCTCTCCTTACAAGATGTCCAAATTCAATCTCTCTCACAGGTCTCACTTCTTGCTTCCTTCTTTCTCTCTCTATTTTCAGGATTGCTCTGATTTTTCGGGAATAGGGGAGAGAGATCGAGAGCGGATGGATTTGCCAGTGACGAAATTGGCTATGGATTTGTGAGAAATTTACCGAGTTGGTGTTGGTGGGATTGGGCAGGGTGGTGCTAGCGCCGATGACCAGATGCAGGGCTTTGAACTGGATTCCGCAGCCAGCGATGGCGGAGTACTACACGCAGAGGTCAACTCCGGGGGGCTTCCTCATAAGCGAAGGCACCTTGATCTCCCCCACGGCGCCAGGGTAATCCTTGTAATTTTGTGCCCTTTTCGAGGTCTTAATTCAGGACTGTTCGCTGGTAGTGGAATGAATGATGAATGAATACTGGTCAAAAATGGTGTCCAATGAGATGATGATAGACACGTGGCAGGCTTTTGTTCGGTGTGGAACCGCACCTTTATAGTGGGTTATGTTAGGTATCGGTGTCACCCGCACGAACTTTGGCTCTCAGCTGTCCTGTTTGTTTTAGTTTTTTAACAACTATAAGGGGTAAAAACCAAGCTGTAACTTTTAATCTCAATTTTTTTTACACTATCAATATCAATTAGAATGAATTATCAATTTCAATTTAGTTCTAAATTGATTCCTCCAATAGTTTTTTAACTACAAATAGATAATTCTTATAATTTTTTTCTACTTGAAACAATGCAATCTTTATAATTTATTAATTCAGTAAATTGAAATGACTGAATTGTCTGAATGGATAATTAAAATAAAGTTTAGGAATTATATATTTGTTTTCAAAAAAAAAAACAAAAAGTAGTCAGTCCCTTCCTCCCACCCACTAGTCACTAGCCAGGTTCACTAGTAATAAGTAATAACTTATTTTGCTACCTTAAATTTATCATTTAGCAGCCAGGAGCACATTGCATTGATATATTCATTTGACATGTGATAAATGATTTAGTAGTGCCATTGAAAATAAATTAGATATAATAATATTTTTTTATTGGTGTCAAGAGTTCAGGCACTATTTGTGAGCAAGGCTAAGTTTAAAGAAGTGTTATGTATTTTCTTCAAAATCTTACTTCAGTCCTCTCAGTTTTAAAGAAGAAAAATATTGTGTTCCAGCTTCTTTAAAAGGATCAGTTTAACCTTTCTTTCAGATCGATCATTCCTCCAACAATTTACACAAAACTTAATATTTTACTACTCAAACCTGACATTTCACTTCAGTCACAAGATTCATAAATTTGACTTTAAAATTAGTTGAAAGTGCCGTAAAAGAGCAAAATTTAATCATTGGAAAAACAGAAGGATAACGTTACCTTTTTATATAAAAAAGTTACATCATTATATCATATTAAGCGACTTAACTATGCAGATTTCCGCATGTACCTGGCATATATTCAGAAGAGCAGGTTGGGGCATGGAGGAAGATAGTGGACGCTGTCCATGCCAAAGGAAGCGTTTTCTTTTGCCAACTCTGGCATGTTGGTCGAGCTTCTCACATAGGTAATTGCTATTTTATGATCTCTGCCCATTATGTTTGAATCTGTATTATTCTGGGAAGTATGTATACTAACGTATAGATATAGGATATGGCATCGACACAGAAAGAGTGATATGGCATAATTTCAAATATCCCCTTGTGATTTGAAATTGTCACATAATGTCTTTCTTGTCTAGTATGAGTATCTATTGTGTCTCACATGAGTTAAGTGTTTGTGTTTTATATAGATCTTACCAAATCTGTGCATCTAATATTCTAAATATCATGCAAAATTTGTCTAAAGCTGTACTACTCATAAGATTTGAATAGTTTACGTAGGCTTTGTCCAAAGCACAAAGCTTACATATTCTAGATCTTACCAGATCTATCATACATCATAAGGGGTGGCTAGTATGTGACCTTAATATGGGCAGCCTCCCTTGTTTACACTCGATTCTTAATCATAAAATGGTTAAAAAGAATAATTCAAATTTGATCTTTTCTCCAACTGCAAATGAGGCGGAAGAGATTTTGTGAGTAGAGAATAGGCAAAAGAGTTTAGAAGGTGCTACTTTGGACTGAATCTCTTACAGGGGGTAGCTACCTGATCGAATCTCTTGGATATTCGTATTTATTCAAGTTGCTAGCTAGCATTTAAATGGACTAAACAAGTTATAAACACACGTATCCCATTTTAACTGATTTTGATCCATTGAAGTGCACTTAAAAGTGAAGAGAGATAGACTTAGAAGGGGACCTCATTTTTAGTGGGGCCCATTTTTTTGTGTATAATACTTTAGTTGTGGTGCAAATTATGGGATTCAAATCCCATATTAACATGTTATAAATATGGTAGATATTTTATGAAATTATTCTAATAAATAGGTTGAAATTGGATTTTAAATGTGCTTGATTGATTTTGCCAAACTCTGGTTTGACGTCTTGATGATATTTCATATTTATCTTTATTAGTTAGGAGGAGTCAGGACTTATCCTCGTTTTGGCCTTTGTACTTGTGAAACAGTTTATCAGCCCAGAGGGGCCCCGCCTATATCGTCCACTAGCAAACCCATATCAGCGAGGTGGAGAATTCTCTTGCCAGACGGGTCATATGGCGTGTATCCAGAGCCTCGAGCCCTGAAAACTTATGAAATACCAGACATCGTGCAGCATTACCGGCAAGCAGCAGTAAACGCTATTCGAGCAGGTTGGTTTCCCTTCGGTTTAGTTTTAATTATAAACTCACATATAAGAACTCCTTCGCTTGTAAATTGTCATTCCCAACAGTAATGGTCGCCCTAGTCTATCGTTTTAGCTAGTTATTATTTGGTTGGGGACTAAAAATATATACTTTCTTCATCATATGGTCCATTGAGTGATTATGAATAATGCATCTTTTTAATTAAAGGCTTAATAATACCTAACGCGTCAAAAATGTAGTCTTTTTCATGCTCATGGAGGTATGGTCCACATTGGGGAAAGTTAACCCCCTTTAGCTTAATAATGCATACTTATACTATTGGCTTCAAGGAGCACTAAACTAATGAAAAGTCATGTTATAAAGTTCTCACGCGTTTGTTAGTTAGTGTGATTCATTTGATTTTAACGACCCTTTTGGCTGATTCATGCACCGACACATTGATTCAATGCCATGTGACAAAAACAGGTTTTGATGGAATTGAGATTCATGGGGCTCATGGGTACCTTATCGATCAATTCTTAAAAGATGGAATCAACGATCGAACAGATGAATACGGTGGATCACTGGAAAATCGTTGCAGATTCCTAGTGGAGGTGGTCCAAGCAGTGGTTTCTGCAATCGGAGCCGACAGAGTCGCCGTGAGAATCTCACCAGCAATAGACCACCTGGATGCCATGGACTCTGACCCACTCAGGCTTGGATTGGCTGTGGTTGAGAGGCTCAACAAGCTCCAACAAGAGTTAGGCTCAAAGCTTACTTATCTCCACGTGACACAACCTCGATACACTGCATACGGGCAAACAGAGTCAGGCAGGCCTGGTAGTGAAGAAGAAGAAGCTCACTTGATGCGGAACTTGAGGAAGGCTTATCAAGGGACGTTCATGTGCAGCGGTGGATTCACTCGGGACCTGGCAATTGAGGCTGTGGCTCAAGGCGATGCTGACCTCGTATCATTTGGTCGTCTTTACATATCAAATCCAGACCTGGTCCTCAGGCTCAAGGTTAATGCGCCTCTGAACAAGTATAATAGGAAAACTTTCTACACCCAAGATCCTGTTGTGGGATACACAGATTACCCCTTCTTGAACCAAGAAAGTGGGCCTAAATCACTCTCGCGTCTTTAATTGCTCTTCTTGTTTCGGGTGTTGTTTATATTATTGCATGATTGCAATCCACGAAACTTGTCGAAGGGTTCAATCCCTTGCTCCAGCTTTTGTGGATATATATATATATATATTTTATATATTGAAACTGGTAATTATAAAAATGGTCCCGACTATTTCGTTATTATCTTTTCTTTTCTTTTTTTTTTTTTGCAACTTTTGTTTTGACTGCCCCTTCGTTTGAATGATCGACAGAAAACTAGGAAATTGCCCGTGTAATCAAAGAAATTGCCACTGCATTTTATTTGGGGCCTGATAGGCTTCTGCGTAGAAATTTTTGGAGAAGGTTTGAGAAGACTTTGAGTTCTGACGATGAGGAGGTTTCCCGCCTATTGATGCATATGCTATTTCTTACCTTGATAAATCACGATAATTAGATATTATAAATTAAATGAAAAAAACTCAAGGGTAAATACTTTTAGAGGTGCAAAAATATAAGGCGAGCCGGCGAGCTCTACCAAATCATCATTCCTGTTTATCGATTGGGCCACTGATCTTCAAATGCCAGGGCCTACTATGTTTTCGTAAAACCAAACAAGGCCTTCAACAAAATAATAGAAGTATCTATCAGCCACCATCGTCATCATAATCAATATATTATATAAAATCAAATAATCAAATAAATTATCATGATCTCCCACATAAAATTCCAAAAGTAACCTACTTTTCTCTAGTGCCTAGAGAGAAATTGTTAGGTAGGTCAGGCATTTATTCATTAAGAGCACAACATTACGATGGCATTAAAAATAAATTTATTTTGACATGAATGATAATATAAAAAAATAATAAATTAAATATGCATTTTATTATAAAAATAAAATTAATTAAAATATTATCAGATAATACTTTATTTAAATGATTTGAAGTATTTTAACTAAAAATATTATAAATGATGTGGTACTTTATTAAAAATTTTTTAGGACCTAGGGGCTAAGTTAATGCTTATGATTACTGCTATAACTACAATTAAGGATCATGAAGCCACTTCTAATGCGAAACAGGGAAAACTGGATAAACAGGTCGCATGTTGGGATAGAACAGTCCGAAATGTTGCTCCACACCAGCAGGCTTAAGATTCTCATTGAACATGGCAAACACAAAACCTTCGATGAAAGCTTCAGGTCTCTTTGGTGTTCCTGCCTGGGAAGCAATGCGTCTCACAAAGTTCTGATTGTAAGTAGCAGCCATTGATACAGTTGTGAGGTCGCCATTACCACCAGAAGGCCAGCCACTCTCAGACACCACAACGTCCACGTCAGCAACCCCCACTTTTTCCATCGCCCAGAAAAACGCATCTATCATAGCATCAAGCATGTTGGAATACCCAAAGCTTCCGTCCTGAACCACCACGTCCTTCGCATTGAACTGAGCATAGTCCAACCGTATGTTTCGAGGGTCAGACGCATATGCAAAATATGGATACAAATTAACCAGAAGAGGATTCGCTTGAGCTGACAGGAACCCCAGAATCCCAGTCATAACCTCTCTTGATTGGTCTGAGAAGACAGAGAGCGAAGGCGGATACGAAGTCCCCAAGACAGAGATAGGCACCGAGGTGGTCACAGAAATGCCACTTAAATGAAAAGTATCGAGTATGCTTTGAAGATTCTGCATCACTGCCAGCACGTAGTTAGCCAGATTCCCAGGAACCACCTCGTTTCCGACGACAATAAAACGAAAGACAATGTCCTGAGAGTATGGTTCTACGTAGGTTGCGAACCACTTGTTCACGGCTTCGATATTAGCGGCCATGGCTGGCAGATCCTCGTTTCGAATGCCGAGAGTAAGATCAATGTTGGTGTTTCTGAGGGCGTCAAGAACGGCTGCGTCAGGGTCAAATAGCCTCACCTTGGTTATGCCGTTCTTCTGGTAGAGTTGGACAACCTCGGCCGGAGGTGGCAGGTTGTCTCCTAGTCTTCCGTAGTTAACACCAATAGCAATGAACGCATCTGCGCTTGCTGCTAAAGCACTCAAGGCAAGAACAATTTGAATCAGTGTCATCATTCTGTCCACAAAAGCCCTGCAAAAAAAAAAAAAAAGGTTAATTAGTACTTCGCCCATATACAGTGTTTCAGGGGCAAAACGGTACACTTCACAGTATTAATGATAAAATAAATAAAAAGTAGATATTGACTGGCCATTACATATATAAATCCTTGATTATATTTAATTATTCGAGCAAGTAGAGCGAACCATTGACAAATTTGACAGCACAAGCAGCCTTTAATTAATTATAATGCTATTAGATTTGCTTCCTTTTGGCTTTGATGCCGTAAAGCTTCGTACTTGTTTGTCTTTATCAATATAAACTTCTTTCGTGTAAAAGGTGTCGAAAAAAGCTCTCATAAATTAAAAACTACAGAAACGGAAACCTGAGAAAAAAACACATACATGAAGCTTTATATTTGTGCTAACCAGTCAAAAACAAGAAGAGGAAAGGAAATAAAGAAATTGGATTCCAGTAGCTTACAGATTTGAAGGTATTGCTGAATAGAAGATGAACTGTTCTCAGTGCCGGTCTTTATACAAAACAAGTTGTGTGTAGTATTCCTTCCTCGGGCTTTATATATGGACATACATATTTTGATACACGAACTCTTATTCTACCTTTGGTTTCCTGATTCGGAGAAGATTTGTTTCCTTTTTTAATGTGAATTCTTCAGTAAGTTACTCATCATCAGTTTGCCGTGTTTCAGATATACTAGGAAACTTTCACTAAAATGGAAATTAATTGCTTTCAAACTTCTGAGGTACAGATATTCCTCTATATATCCTCGGTCATGAACGAGTTTCCTTTTTTCTTGGCCCACCATTGATCATGAATCTTCTTACATTATTCCGTCATTCGCTTCTTCAATGACAATTCTCAGTCTTTGATATGATGAATACTTGCCGCTTGTAGCCCGCATTAGCTTTAGTAACGAAATTCTTGGGAATTGTTTGTCAGATCAAAATATCACGATACAGATGATGTCGTTTCGCTAGGAAGGTTTGCTATGTTCTTTTTTAATACGATGTTATTATCAAGAAAGTGTCCTTTCTTGGGCTGCACTGACGCTATCCCTATTTGGGCCGACCACGATTTTCCTTTATTTAATCATAAAAAAAATATTATAACTTGCAAGGCAATTGAAATTTGTGTACAGATTTTCACTAAATTAAGTACTCCAAAAATATTTTTATGAGAAATTAGAATAAAATGAGTTTTGTTCCTTTCCACAGAGAATGGAAATGAGATTTTGATTAAATGATATATTCCTTCCGGTGCAAAATATAAACCTACTGTTTGATGTGTCATGAAAAAGAATGAATTTTTTTATTTTATTGGACAATAATGCCCCTAATTCATATAAAAATATAATATTTTTAATAATAAAAAATTTGGTAATATACTGAATTAAAAATTAACATATTTAATGTTAATTTCTGTACTGATGACAAACTATATCCTTCTAGATTTCTCGTATTAAAACGGTGTCACATGGGTTAGTATATGTTAACATCCTATACCTATATATGAGGTCATACCATTTAAATGTGTATGAATCTTATAAAGATCATATCATTTACTCAGATTGATTTAGGACCTGGAAATTTGCAAGGTACTAGTGTCAGGTTTTTACATTGCATCGTTTTCCACGGTGCCATTCAATGTCACGGCCGTGACAGCCCTTCTAATCTTGACATTGAATCTTGGATTATTTTTAAACTACAATGAAAGTAACCATGATTTTGCAATCAAAACGATTTACAAAGAAAAGTATAAGGGAAGATTTTGTTGCAATCTAACCACAAACTAAACTAATTAATTAGATTGGAGTAATTTAAATTTTGTCCCTAATTTGCCATGATAATTTCTTGACACCAAAATCCTTCGAATATTATTGAGGACAGCATCTAAACATGGGGATACAAACATTGAATCCTTCACTCAACAATGGTTTAATTTCAGGCAAACCCGCACAAAAATTAGAAGATTAGGAAATATAAGAAGATAAGCCAATAACTTCCTTCTTTTCAACATATATTAGTGCCTTATTACAACCATGGTTTCAAATCTATCAATGATGGGTGTGACCCAGAAAAACCCTACTAACAAAAATTCTGGATTTTACCCATCCTCTTTTTCTCATCCCTTTGACATGCGAGCCAGATCTTGGTTTCTCATATTCTCACTTGTAATGAGAACTGCATTTTGTGAAGCCGTGTGATGAGGATTGAATTGATAGATTTCATAAAATCAGTAGAAGAATATAAAGGCAAAATCAAATCTCCATAAACCCATAAGGTTATTCCTATATCAAAACTCAGGAATAGAGATAAAACACGGAAGTGTACCTGAATCCATCGCCATGTTTTTGTACTCAATTATATGATTGAAAAGGTGTGTTTTTTGGATTTGTTACTGGTAGGAACTCTGTATATTTCCAAGAAGGAGGACTGGAGAATGTTCTTTCCAACTGGCCAAACCAATGACCACAACCTCTATATATAGAGTTAATAAGTTTGTGATATTTATGATTTGGCCTTCTAAGCAAATCATAAATATCACATTAGTCTCTACACATTTATCCCATCACAATTATACCCTTAAGTCTTAAAACTTTAATCTACATAGATCACTTTATTTTGACTTAATTAAATAATGGCCACATTAATCTAAATAGACCACTTTATTTAGACTTAATTAAATAATGGCCACACATTTTTAATATATACATGTGTGGCCCTACATGTTGGATTTTATTTACAACAATCTCCCACAAGGCCACATATGTAAATCTTGATAAAAATGTGTTTATTTTTATGAGCTTAGAAATATGTGCCATTATATATATAGCGTATAAATAATCTAGTCCATTGACTAAATCAAGATAGGATCAAAGAGGCCTTTGTCATAAGTACACAATGACTAGGCCTAGAAATAGTCATATATACCAACACAATCAATGTCATAGATCATGGATGTGTAGCATGGAAAATTACATGCAATGTGACCTATACATGTCTATTTCTAACTAGTCATCCTTACTTTAGTGAGATCATTACTACAATATGATGTGATAGAATGGAACATAATAACTTAATACTGAATAACTTTATTCTTGATCAGAAAATACACTT